GCAGGGGAATCTCTGCCCACTGGCCAAGATGGTGGCAGGGGGAGGTTCTTACACTGCGCACATCGGAAGTGAGGAAGATAAGTGGGTAGTAAAAAAGCCCTCCTCTCCCCATCCCTACAAGAACTGCAAGCTTGAGCAGGAGGATTGAGATGGTCTCTGAGAGTGGAGTCCATTCTCCCAGATTGTGTGGTACCTGAATAAGCCTCTCCTTTTTGCACGTGCCTCATGAGTTTGGCTTTTTGTGGTGAAAGGCAGCTGAACTTCAGTCTTTTTGTTAGATAACGCTATGGCTATACTGTAGATTGTACATGGGAACTGAATACACAGAATAAATTCTAAACTTGTGAAATTAAAATTGAATTGTCAATTCTGATTGTAAATGCAGACAGTACCATCTATCTAAAGTTAATGGCATTACTCTGACTACTTAACTTGAATCTTCTAATTGGGGTAAGGTTAAACTGCAGAGGTAATTAAGATTTAAACAGTATAATACTTTCAGGTCTTTATTGCATGTCTTGGAAGTTAGATATCAAAATTATTTTCTGAGTTTATCATCCATGAAGGAAATTGCAAGAGTATTCTTAACTCTTAAGTATGTGCTGCTGAGGTACCTGAAGTACCTGTATTAATTCACTTCCTAGCCATTATCAGAAGGTGAGAACTAGTCTGGCTTTCTCATTTTTCACATTAAACAATGGTGTATGTATAACTGCTTTGGGAAAGCATTTGGCTGTATCTACTGAAGTGAAACATATGCACACCCTGACATCTAACAATTCTATCCATAAGTATATACCCAACAGAAATGCCAACACATATGTATAGAATGTTCATGGCAATATCTGTCAAAATAATCAAAGCCTGGGGACTACCCAAATGTCATAAATAGTAAGAAGGCTAAATAATTGTGGTCTAGTCACACAATGGAATGATATATAACAATGTGAATGAAGTCTACAACCACAAGCAATAATATAAATAAATTTCACAAAATATTAAGTGAAAGAAGCCAAATACGGGAGTATGTACTATATAATTCACTTCACTTATACAAACTACAAAAACACACATAACTAATCCATGCTTTTCCAAGTGAAAAGTTTTTGGCTGCCCTTTTGGAGGGACTGTGGTTTATGTGACAGCCAGGCAGCATGGGGGTGACTGGGAGGGAGCACAAGGGCAGCTTCTGGGGTGCTGGCAATGTTCTGTTAAGTGGTCTGGGTCCTGGTGCACTGGTGTTCCACTGGTGAAAATCTGAGATATACGTTTATGACGTGTATTTTCTATACGTGTATCATATTGTAATAAAAAGTTAAAAACAAACATCACCAACCATAACAATTATAACTAAAATTCCCTAAGATTCAAATTATTCAATAATAGTAAAAATAAAAGAAAGTGAAGAACACAAGGTGCCTGAAGTGCAGGTTCATTCCATGTCCATCAAGTTAGACTGAGTCCAGTATAACACCATCTTCAAATCACAAAGACCTATACAGATAAAGCTAGTGGTATCAGTGTATCTTTCTCCTTGCTGATAAGATTATTGTTTCGACAAAAAACTGTACTTGAAAAATAACTAAATAAAATTAAAAAAAAAAAGAAAAGATTATTGTTTCCTTTCCTTTGTAAACAAACAAACAAACAAACAAACAAACAAAAACACTACTGCAATTAGTTTCTACAGCTATTTTTATTTACCAACAGATACTGACTGTTCTAGGCATTATCACCACACACACTAAAATGTGGTAAGTGGTATCCAGCAATGTGTGTGTTAGAGGAAGAAAACAACACCTGAAAATGCTTTGGATCCCTGGGGAAACTTGAGAAAAAGATTACTGCTATATACTGGGTAGTGTTGTCTGAGTTAATGGGATAAACTTCTTGACCTGAACAGATGTTTAAATACAACAAATGGTAAGATCATGGCTCAATATACTTTTGTGAATTAAAATGGATACTTTGAAACAGACTTAATGTTCTGCAGCTGGCTGTCCCAATTTAAAACATGTAACTTTTGTAACCTTGTGGGAGAGGGAATGGTGGTACTATCAGATGTCTGGAAGTAAATCTGAACTTAGTGACTTTTGGAAACACAGTTTTTGAGGTTGTTTCCCACCTACATATGACCATTTTTATAAACTGGTTAACCAGGAGTCCAGCTGCAGGAATGTTTGGATGTTTCCTTGGGGCTGGAATTCATCACAAACTTTCTTTGTTACTCCCCAAAGACACTTTTATAGATGGACTAGTAAGTGATAATAACAATGGCTAAAAATTGAAGATGGAACTAAGACTTTATAAAGCTACAATGAGGAGGAAAAAAACATGTTCATGTCAATCTTCCCTGATACCACATTAGGTATGACTGACCCTATAGAAGTGAATGAAAGGACAGATTAGAAAGTATGAGGTAACTTTCAGGATGAAGCCAGAATTCTCTTAATCAAAATGATGTATCTGGTGAAAATACAAATGGACTGTAAGTAGAAAACAATTCAAAATCATCTTGCATTATATGGCACTGATTGTGTGTGTGTGTGTGTGTGTGTGTTTACAGAGGGATTGCATTTAGAAAAGTGGCCTCTCATAATCATACTAAGTAGAGACTCAGTCACTCTAAAAAGCAAAACCCCAATCTTTTACACTGTACTTTACCATATAGCATTAACAAACATCTTTTATTTTGGTAAATATCTTTAAATAATCAGTGATCAAATTTCCTTCCTGATGTTCACAATATGCACTTACCAGGTGGCCACTTTCCTTTTTTAAAAAAAAATACTACCTCTACAACTAGTGAAATTGAAACAGTAATCAAAAAACAAAAAAGTCTTAGAACCAGACAGCTCCACAGGTGAATTTCACCAAATGTTCAAAAAGCTAACACCTATTTTTCTCTATTTCAAAAAACTCAAAAGAAGGGACCACTCCCAAGCTAATTTTACAAAGCAAGCATTATCCTAATCCCAAAACCAGAGAAAGACACTACAAAAAAAAAGACTATTATGGGCAAATATCCCTGATGAACACAGATGCTAAAATCCTCAACAAAATATTAGCAAACAGGATCCAGCAATATATTAAACAAAGCACACACCATGATCAAGTGAGATTTATTTTGGGGATTTGAAGTTGGTACAATATCCACAAATCATGTTAATACACCACATAAACAAAATAAAGGATAAAAACCACATGATCATATCAATAGATCCAGAAAAAGCAACTGATAAAATCTAGCACCCATTTATGATAAGAACTCTCAGCAAAGTGGGAATAGAGAGGACATACCTCAGCATAATAAAGGCCATATGTTACAAATCCATAGCCAACATCAATGGGTAAAAACTACAGTGTTTCCCTTATGATAAGGAACAAGACAGGGATGTCTACTTTTACTACTCTTACTTAAAACAGTACTGGAAGTCCTAGCCACAACAATCAACAAGAAGGAATAAAGGGCATCCAAATTGGAAAGAAAGTAAAACTGTCATTATTTGCAGATGACATGATACTGTATATGAGGGGGGACCAAAAAGAAGAGGAATTTATAAAAAATTGTGTATTTATCTTTACATGTTTAAACTTCAGTCACCTTCACAGTACTCTCCATGTGATGCAATATACCTATTCAGACTTTTTTCCACTGCTCAAACAGTTTTTAAACTCATTGATTTTGATACCTTTTTGTGCTTCTGCCATTTTTTATTTCACTTTTTCCATATCAGCAAAACATTTTCCTTTGAGGAATTTTTTTCATCTGGGGAAACAAGAAAAAAGTTGATCGGGGCTAGATCAGGTGACTAGGAATAATGGGTGGGACACAGGGATCACGTCATTTTTGGTCAAAAACTGCTGAAAACTCAGCATGGAGTGGGCAGGTGCACTTGTACATTACCCATCATGAAATGGGCAAATGCACTGAAAGAATCTTTTAAAAAATTAACTGAAGCCAAACACAGCCTCTCACAATACCACCGGCTGGTACACTGATACAGATGGGCTCCTAGAACATTCACCCAACTGGAAAAGCTTGTATTACAAGGGGCCAACTCTCCAGGAGATAATTCTGTGTTTTGGGGGTTCTGCCTTCCCCTCTATATAAAGAACCCTAAAGATTCCACCCTGAAACTTCTAGAACTGATAAATGAATTCAGTAAAGTAGCAAGACACAAAATAAATATCCAAAAATCAGCTTCACTTTTATACACCAATAATGAACTATCAAAAAGGGAAACTAAGAAAACAATCCCATTCACAATTGCTTCAAAAACAATAAAATACCTTGGAATAAATTTAACCAAGGATGTAATATAACCTGTACTCAAAAAATTATAAGACAGTGAAGACACAAATAGGTGGAAGTATATACTGTGCTCATGGATAGGAAAAATTAACATTGTTAAAGTGGACATTCCACCCAAAGCAATCTATAGATTTAACACAATGCCTATCAAGATACCAATGGCATAATTCACACAACTAAAATAAATATTACAAAAACGTATGGAACCACAAAAGAACTCAAATAGCAACAGTTATTTTGAGAAAGAAGAAGAGAGTTGGAGAAATCACACTACCTGATATCAAACCATATATACTTCAAGGCCACTGTAATCAAAACAGCATGATACTGGTATAAAAACAGACATATAGATCAATGAAACAGTATAGAGAGCCCGGAAATAAACCAATGCCTTCATAGGCATAGCCAATTAATATTTGACGAGGGAGACAAAAACATACAATGAAGTAGGGTCTATTCATGTGGGGAACATACAACAAATGTGTGCAAAAAAAAGATCTAGACCACCTTTTGGGGGGAGGATTTTGGCCTCTAATTCATGCTTTGCCTGTGTTTATACTATAATTTCTTTTTGGCTAATTAAATTTTTAAAGTATATTTTATTTATTACACTACTTCAGTTGTCCCATTTTTTCCTCCCCTTTATCCTCCTCCTCCCTGCACCCCCCCCCCTTTTTTGGTAGGTCTCTTCAACATTTCATATAATAAGTGCTTGGTGATGAACTCCTTTAACTTGACCTTATCTGGGAAGCACTTTATCTGCCCTTCCATTCTAAATGAAAGCTTTGCTGGATAGAGAAATCTTGGATGAAGGTCCTTGCCTTTCTTGACTTGGAATACTTCTTTCCAGTCCCTCCTCGCCTGTAAGATTTCTTTTGAGAAATCAACTGATAGTCTAATGGGAACTTCTTTGTAGGTAACTGTCTCCTTTTCTCTTGCTGCTTTTAAGATTCTCTCCTTATCCTTAATCTTGGGTAATTTAATTATGATGTGTCTTGGTGTGTTCCTCCTTGGGTCCTATTTCTTTGGACTCTCTGGGCTTCCTGGAACTCTATTTCCTTTGTCAGATTGGCGAAGTTTTCCTTCATTATTTATTCAAATAAGTTTTCAATATTTTGCTCTTCCTCTTCTCCTTCCAGCACCATTATCTGGTTGTTGGAACACTTAAAATTGTCCTAGAACTTCCTAAGCCTCTCCTCATTTTTTTTTGCATTCTTATTTCTTCATTCTGTCCCAGCTGGATGTTTATTTCTTCCTTTGTTTCAAACTGTTGATCTGAGTCCCAGTTTTGTTCCCTTCACTGTTAGTTCCCTGTATATTTTCCTTTATTTCACTTTATGTAGCCATCATTTCTTCATTTTGAGACTAAGCTCAATCAATTCTGTGAGCATCCTGATTACCAGTGTTTTGAATTCTGCATCAGATGGGTTGTCTATTTCCTCATCGTTTGGTTCTTTTTCTGGAGTATTATTTTATCTGTTCTTTCATTTGGGCCATATTTCTTTGCCTCAGCACACTTGTTACGTGCTAAGGGGTAGAGCCTTAGGCATGTCAAGTTGGGGAAACCCTCTTTGCTGCGTTATTGTGCTGTCTGTGGGGGAGGGCTCAGAGAGAGAACAATGTTGCTTGCTCTGCTCTCAACCACTTTCCGTAAGTTTCCAGGCTTTCCACAAGCAGATTGTGCCCTTTCTCATGCTGATTTGCAGGTGGGTGCCCTTTTGCGTTTTAGGACTCTGTGGGTTTCTGCAACACACTCTCCTGTGAGGCTGGGAGTTTCTCCCACTGCCACAACTCCCACAGCTTTTTTACAGCCAGGGGTTTTGAGACTTTGGTTTCCTGTACCCAAACCCTGGGTTTCAGTCTGTCTTGCTCCCCGCAATGTTGTTCCTCCTGGTTTATCTGCACGTGAATGAGGGACTGCTCAGTCCTCCAGCTGTCATCTTGATGCTCATCCTCTCCACCTCGGTTGCCCAACTCTGCTCTTCCTACTGGTCTGAATGAATGTTTAACTCCTTGGCTGTTGTACTTCCACGCAAATGATTTTCTGGCAGTTCTGTTTGTTCTTCATTTTTAAATTGGCTGTTATCCTTTTTTTGGTTGTGCAAGGAAGCAAAGTGTTTCTGTCTATTCCTCCATCTTGGCCAGATCTATAGACAGATTAGACCACTTTCTTACACCATATACAAGAATAAACTCAAAATGGATTGAAGACCTAAATGTCAGACTCGAAACCATGAAAATCTTAAAGGAAAACATAGGCAGTAAAATCTTGGACATTTGTTGTAGCCACATGTTTTCTGACATATCTTCTCAGGCAACTGAAACAAAAGAAAAAATAAACAAATGGGACTACATCAAAAGAAAAAGTTTTTGCACAGCAAAGGAAACCATCGACACAATGAAAAGACAACCCATTGAATGGGAGAACATATTCACTGATACATCTGATATGAGGTTAATATCCAAAATTCATAAAGAAACTCAACACCAAACAATCCAATTAAAAATGTGCAAAAGACCTGAAAAGACACTTCTCCAAAGAGGACATACAGGTGGCCAGTAGACATATAAAAAGATGCTCAATATCACTAAACATCAGAGAAATGCAAATTAAAACCAGAGTAAGATATCACCTGACATCTGTCAAAATGACTATTATCAATAAATCTACAAACAACAAGTGTTGGCAAAGATGTGGAGAAAAGGGAACTCTCAAAAAATTAAAAATGGGCCTGCCTTATGACCTAGCAATTCCAATTCTGGGAATTTATCCAAAGAAATCCGAAACACTAATTTGAAAGAATATATACTCCTCTATGTTCACTACAGAAATATTTACAATAGCCAAGATTTGAAAGCAGTCCAAGTGTCTATCAGTAAATGAGTGGAAAAAGACTGTGGTACATTTCCATAACAGAATACTACTTGGCCATAAAAAAGAAGAAAGTTTTACCCTTTGCAATAGCATTAATTGAACTGTAAAGTACTATGCTAAGTAAAATAAGCCAGTCAGGGAAAGGTAAGTACAACATGATTTTACTCATATGTGGACTATAATGAATAAAACTAATTAACAAGCAAAATAGAGACAGACTCGTAAGTAGAGAGCATGCTGACAGCTTTCGGAGCTGGGTGTGGTGGTAGAGGAAATGAGCAAAAAAAGAAAAAGGAGAGAGAATTCATGTACATGGACAAGTGTGGTGACTGCCCAGGGAGGTGGGTGGGGGAGGTGGAGGAGGGTACAGGGTGATAAATGGTGATGGACAGAGACTTGACTGGGGTGGTGAACACACAATCCAATATACAGACAATGTGGTGTAGAATGTTAACCAATGCCAACCTAATAAATTCAATTAAAAATGCCACCTCAAAACAGGCAGGCGCCAACCTGTTGCTATGGGCCCTTCATCACCAGGCTGACCCCTGGCTCTCCTAGAGGGACTTAGCTGCACCCATTGGTTTCGAGACTGCTTTGTTCCTCTAGACTATTTGAAGCTGAATGTTTAGTCCTTGTATTATTTTTGCAACTTAGGTCCTCTGGACAGTTTTTATATGAGTGAGGGAAGAAAGCATGAGAGGAAGTGAAGAGTCATGGAAAGAGATTTTTAAAAATATATAAAGTATAGTACTTAATAAAATAAATATATTCTTATACCACATTTTAATTTTAGAGTCCATATTTCTATTATCCAAAGAACATCTTTGACAAAATATTGAAATGAAGCTGGCTTCTCCCTGTCATCTAGCATCTCTTTCTCTTGCCTATTAATGCAAACTCAGAGAACATGAACTAATTTTAATGTTAACCAAGCCAAATATAAATGTGGAGGCAAATCTAATGCTACTTAAGAAAAAAATGAAGAAATAAAAGGAGGGGGAAAAGTAGGGGAGAAGTAGGAACATATGCCCTATCCAAACCTAAAAATACTTTTAATTTTCTTATTTATCTTCTATAGAATAATGCTATAGTTCTCTGAAAGTAAATGGTTAAGAATTAGTCATTGTTCTGTATTATATGCCACTCAATTCTATTAACCAGGAAGGAATACAAAGGTTGATTAGGAAAAAAAGTGCTTTTAAAATGTAAAGTAATTATTAGTATACAACATTAAGGGTTAAAATGTTCATAAAATTACAGTATTTTTGTATCTGCTCACCTCTGACATATCGTGCACCAGCAAGAGCGGAATACTTATTGTTGTGATGTCGTGAGTACAGCAAACCTTGAGTATGTTCCGGAGTCCCATAATGGCAGGGTCACGAGCAGTGATGTTTCCAGATTTCACATTGTCATCCACACAGAGATGGAAAGCAACATGGATTTCTGAGAGATTAGAATGCCGTGTAATATAAAATTCTCCTGTGAACAACAAACAATCATGATTTTCAAGAACATAAACCACCACCCTCAGTGGACTGTATAAGTGACTGTAATGGGCAATCTATGTATTAAACTAGTAGAGGTATATATATCAGCAACCTATGTTGAGCTCAGGAAGCAAATATGAGTACTGCTTCTAAATTGTTAGAAAAAGGTGATGAAAAGAGGCAATAGCTAATTTTGCATTAGGTTCATAAATTGGTATGAAGTGACCACTAAATAGTAAGTAAATCAAATGAGTCTTTGTCATCTCTATGTTGATGTAAATGCTCAAAATGTCATACTTGACTCAAACTTAATATGTAAAAACAGGTTACTTGATTACCTATCATCCTCAGACCCTAAATATGTTCTTCTCCATCTCAATTTATGGATCCAATTTCTGTCCAGTTATTTGCTCAGGAGAAGATAGCAGTTGCCCTTCATTACTTTTTTCTGTCAATGATTCTTCCCAATCCCCAATCCAACCAACGCACCAGCAAATATTTTCAGTAATACCTCCAATAAATATCTCAAATCTGAGAGCTCCATTTTTGTTGCTATCACCCTAGTTCATGCTACCACCATCTCTCACATAACTTTTTGCAATAGCTTCTTAATGAATCTCTCTGCTCCCATTCTTGCCCACCAAGAGTCTACAAACCATTTCCACATTGCAAGAAAAAATGACTTATACATAAATCAAATAACATCGCTCCCTTAAAATCATCCAACATGCACACACCACATTCAGAAAAAAATCCAAACTTTACTGCCGTCTGCAAGGCCCATCTGATCTGAAAATTGCCTATCTGTTTGACATCCTCCTGGCTCAACCCCCTTCTTCCTGCCCAGTCACAATGGCCTTTGTTCAGTTCTGCAAACATACAGAGCTTGTTCCCAATTCAAGGCTGCTTCATAAAAGGCTGCCTCAAGATTCTTGTAAGGCTGACTTTTCATTAATCATGTCTTGGATCAAAGGTCACATTCTCAGAGAGATCTTCCTGACTGTCCCAGCTGCTGGATAACTCTCACCCCTCGCTTATTCTATTTCACATTGTTTTGTTTTATTCTTAGCACTGAAATTCTTTTTACTGTTTGTGAGATTATCTTAAAGAAACCATTGTTTATACTCTATAACTACAGGTATTTTGTCTATCTTGTCTAATATTCTATCTCTAGCACATAGAACAGTACCTTGTTCACTGAATGTGGTCAATAAATATTTGTTGAATAAATGAACAAATATTTTAGATGGAATGTTGGAGCAATAGTTATTGAGCCTTAAAATCCATGCTTCCTACAACCATTTTTCCATTGTCTATGTAGCCATGGTAGCTACACCAGCTTTTATATTCTGCAGTTTCTGTCAATATAAATAAATAAAATAGAAAACATATAAAGAGTATGTTTTTAAAAATCACATCATTCCCTGGAAATTCTGATATGTCCTTCTAGGAAAGCTTCTTCTCTTCTAAGATATACTTTTCTATCACTAATGCCTGCTCTTATAAAATCTTCCCACCTTGGCTTCAAAGTCATTATCTTAGATTTTATTACAGTTACTTTTTTAAAAAGATTTTATTAATTTTTAGAGGGGAAGGGAAGGAGAAAGACATCAGTGTGTGGTTGCTTCTCACATCCCCTGCTGGGGACCTAGCCTACAACCTAGGCCTGTACCCTGACTGGGAATTGAACCGGTGACCCTTTGGTTCACAGGCCTGCACTCAATCCACTGAGCTACACCAGCCAGGGTGGATTTTACTTATATTTACTTATAAACATATAACATAGCTACAAGTACTTAATGTACTTCAGCAAAATGTTTAACCATTTCTAGTTACCAGTGTATATAAGCTATACCCATGGATGCTGCTGATAGGATCCAGGAAAAGCTTTTTTTTCCCTAAGATAAAAAAAAATTAGTTCAACAGAAAAATAAATGGAAGAGAGGACAATGACATAAGTATCAAAATAAACTAGTCAAATAAAAAGTTTAAAAAATCGATGAAATATATGGACAATTTGATTACAATTTCTTGGAAGGCAACACAAGACAGAGACAGCTTACCAGAAATCTAGTAAATTCCCTCTGAGAGCATATTCCTCTCTGCCCAACTACTGATAATTTAGGTGATGGAAGGCACAGCATTAAACATAGGCTATGGTCCAGTAGTGAGGCAGACGACTTAGTGAACAAGTCAGGTGCTGCTGATCCCCAAACTGCACATCTTTGCTGACCTGAGATGACCTGTCTCGTGGCCTCATTTTACCCATTAGGAAAATGGGGGTCACGGAGCTGGCAATAGTAATCAAAGTAATATAATATAGTAGAAAAAGGACTAGATTGGATGTTAAGATCTGGTCTCTAGCACTTACCGGATAAGTGATCTTGGATAAATCAATTCAACTTATAGATTCTTTGTACTTTGTGTAAGAAATGAAAAAATAATGGCAGACTGCTTTCCTTACAAAGTAGTTGTGAAAAATCAGATGATATATACGTAAATATATAGCATCTAATAAATAAGTATTTATATACCATATATCATTGGCATGTAAATACTTATATACCAATAAAGCAAAACCACAGGTTAAAAATTATAGAACTAAAACTGTTTTTCTTTGCAATTTAAAACTTTACAGCATTTGTAATTTGGATCCTTTCTCTCTCCTGTCTACTTCCTAGCTGTGTAGGCATCCTTTAACTAAATGGAAATCCAGATGTTATCAGCATATCTAACTTAATAGTTTAATATTCCTTTGTTTAATGCAGACTTAAGACATACCTTCCTGATTTGGTGGTGATAACAAGATACTAACCTAAAGGCTTTTTCCAAAAAGGAACAGGAAGGAAATAAATATAGCATTAAGGAGTTAAGTAAAAAAAAAAAAACCAAAAGACATCAGTACTTCTGGAATAGATAATAAGATTGTCACATTTTAAGAAAGCCACAAAATATGGATGATTTAAATTATGGATCTATGAAGAGAAATACAATGAATCCTGCCTCAGTGAAGGTATTTTTAGATGGAGAGGACAGTTTCCTGTTCCACAAAGTGAAGAAAACAGCATGTGGTGAGGCAATCCTGCCTGTAACATTATGCACTAAGGTAGGATATCTGAAGGTGGAAGGAAATTTGGAAGCTGATGACCACAAGTTAACTGACAGGGACTGACAAGATAATACCAGAAATAGTTATGCTATTTCTGTAGATTAAAAGGGATGTGACTTACATGTAGGAAATATAGAAAAGGAAATGTGAAGAAAAAAGTCTTGGTTATTTATGAAGCTGCAAAATTTACCATTCAGTTTAAAAGACTTTACACTTACAGAGTAAATCAATAGGCCTCCTTTGTCATGTATGCCCTGTCACCCAAGCTCAACTAAGGGTCATCAACTAAGGAGTGAGCTCAGTCTGGGAGAGGACAGAAAGACTGCACTTCCAGTTTATATACTATATATTCAAGAATAATAAGGAAATTAAAGAAATAAAAAGTAAAAAAAATTGATGGGAAAATGGAAATAAGATTCTAAAGCAGATGACCTATGTATGTTCTTTCTACAAGTTCAAGTGTTTACATCTCCACATACCACTGTTTACATATCAGTGTAAAAATTACTTATTGGTTTATTTAAGAAACAAAGAAATGTATAAAAGAGGAAATGTGAAATGGCAAATAACAATAAAGCGTATGTAATTGCTTGAACAGGTTTTCTTTTATGGATCTAGAAAAGTCAATACTAGTATAAAATTTAAATAGCAGAACTTCTGTTTAAGTTTATTATATAGATACAATGTTGTTCTGACAAACTTTTTATAAACTACACTATAAGAACTTATGCTTCAAATATGATCTCAATGCATATGATTATAAGAAAACTGCAATTTAAAATAATACTTACCAGGTAAAATATTTAAGTAGTTCCTATCAGCATTTTTAGTCTTATCATCACTTTCTCCATTTTGGCTCCCAGAATCTATGCATAAGATAATGTAACATGAAAGAACATACAACATATCACTGCTACTACTTCTCAAGTAACTGTAACAGCAAACATTAACTAAGAATCTCTAGGTGCCAGGCATTCTGATGGATGCTTTACATGCATGGCCTCATTTAATTCTTACAAAATGCCTAAAACCACAATCTTATGAGGTACTTTTACTTCTTCATTTACATGTGAGGAAACAGAAGCTTAAATAGGTTAATTAATTAACCAAGAATGCACAGGTAAGTGATGGAAGCAGGTCTTTTTAAAAATATATATTTTATTAATTATGCCATTACAGGTGTCCTATTTCCCCCCTTCATTCCCCTCTACCCTGCACACCCCCTCCCCCACCATTCCCCCCATTAGTTTATCACGTGTCTCAGTTCTTTAGATTCTATTTCCCATACTATTCTTGCCCTCCCCCTATCTATTTTCTACCTACCATCTATGCTACTTATTTTCTGTACCTTCTCCCCCCTTCTCCTTCTCCCACTCCCCTGTTGCTAACCCTCCATGTGACCTTCATTTCTATAGTTCTGCTCCTGATCTAGCTGTCCTCTTAGTTTGCTTTTTAGGTGTGGTTCTTAATAACTGTGAGTTTGCTGTCCTTTCACTGTTCATCTTTTTATCTTCTTTTTCTTAGATAAGTCCCTTTAACATTTCATATAATAAGGGCTTGGTGATGATGAACTCCTTGAATTTGATCTTATCTGAGAAGCACTTTATCTGCCCTTCCATTCTAAATGAAAGCTTTCCTGGATAGAGCAATCTTGGATGTAGGTCTTTGGATTTCATGACTTGGAATACTTCTTTCCAGCCCCTTCTTGCCTGTAAGGTCTCTTGAGAAATCAGATGACAGTCTGATGGGAACTCCTTTGTAGGTGACTGTCCCCTTAGCTCTTGCTGCTTCTAGGATTCTCTCCTTCATTTTAATCTTGGCTAATATAATGATGATGTGCCTTGGTGTGTTTCTTCTTGGGTCCAACTTCTTTGGGACTCTCTGAGCTTCCTGGACTTCCTGGAAGTCTATTTCCTTTGCCAGATTGGGGAAGTTCTCCTTTATTTTTTGTTCAAATAAGTTTTCCACTCGTGGCTGTTCCTCTTCCCCTTCTGGTACCCCTAGAATTTGGATGTTGGAACATTTAAGGATGTCCTGAAGGTTCCTAAGCCTTTGCTCATTTTTTTTGAATTCTTGTTTCTTCATCCTTTTCTGTTTGTTCATTTTTTTCCCTCCTTCTGGTCCACTCCTTTGATTTGAGTCCCAGTTTCCTTTCCATTACTACTGGTTTCCTGTGTATTTCCCTTCATTTCAATTAGTTTAGCCTTCATATGTTCCTCTAATTTGTGACTAAAATCAACCAGTTCTGTGAGCATCCTGATCACCAGTGTTTTGAACTGTGCATCTGTAAGTCTGGCTATTTCTTGGTCACTTAGATTTATGGGCTTTGGGCTCTGAGTTGTTCTTGAGCCATATTTTTATCTGTTTGTGCCTGTTACGTATGAGGAGCAGAGCCTTAGTTGTTCACCAGGGTGGGGCCACCCAGGTCACTGGTATGTGAGGCTGTATGTGGGGGCAGGGTTAGAGAGGGACAATGGCAGTTCCCTCTGCCACTTCCTGATGCTGGGGTCTGCACGGTCCATCTCACTGCTAGCTCCTTGACCAGTTTATCTGCGCACAAATGTGTGACAGTGATCAGCCCTCAGTGGGTCCACTGCCTTGCGCCCTCAGTGGGTCCTCCTGCTTCTCCACACCTGGGATCCGCCCACAGCTGCTGGTGCACCTGAGTTGCACTTCCGGGTAGGTCCAGTGGATCCTTCCTGCCCGACCCCGTACTCCTGCTGGCTCTACCCCTCTTACCAGTTTGGCTGAAGGGTTCGTTGTTGTCAGACTTCCATGTAGTTCAATTTTCTGTGGTTTGGCTGCGTTTTTATTGTTAAAACTTTGTTGTTTTTAAACTTAGTTGTGCGAGAAGGTGCAGTGCTTCCACCTACACCTCCATCTTGGCAGAAGTCCCAGAACCAGGTCTTGAAACTACATAGACAGATTCCAAATTCTAGTATCTTAACACATTAGACTTGCCAATACCCTATTTTTCATCTAGGAGTTTCAAGGCACTAAGTTAACAACACATAAAATAAGTTCATTAGATAACTGTCATGTGGCCATATTTATTTTTAGGATCTGAGTCACTCTTTTCGATATAACTTGTTCAGATCTATGAACAAATGGCTAGTACCACCAAGAGTCAATTTGTTACTTCTTATTTGACATTATATACAATTTATTTCAAATAGATAGGTAAGACTGTTTCAAATGGAGAATTTTTTTCCCAAATAGTCAACAGTTATTCTTTGTAGAAGGCATGATATTACTTAAAAGCATAAATGTTGGTAAAAATGAGATATATCACAATTGACCACACACTGTTGTTGAATACTAATTATTTTACATACATATTTTAATAGAAGATACATATGAATTTTATAACAGTGCTATCAGAACTTAAAAAATAAAGACTTAATATTAGCATTCAAAGTAACTCTCTTTAAGAAACTGTATATTTATTCTAATACAAAACTACTTGGAATGGACTTCAGCATCAGAAAATCACTTGAAAAGAGTCAGAACTTCAAATGAGTAAACTGCAAACACTAAGGGAATGTTATGATTTCAGGAAAGTTCTGAATAAAAGTAACAATATTGTAATATATGGACCACTCTGATGAACTGAGTTGTAACACTGCACCTTGTTAATGCACATATTTCATAGACAGAAGGAGAGGCAGGTTGTGTGGCCAGCACCCACACTTACCGTGATATTTCTCACACAGAGCCATGTAATTGATGGGCCCTGAATAAACATTTGCCCATAGCACAGAAAACAAAAAACAACAAATAAGGACTGTCATTTCATTCACATGGGTTATGAACAAATAGAATCACTATTAAGTAAACAAGAGACAGTTCACAGTCCATTTCCCTTTCCATGTTTTAATGGCAACACCTTGTAATACTATGAAAATGAGCTACTTTTAGCTTTTAAAAAATGTCTATAAAATATACACACAAAAAAAACCAAACTGATTTTGTAGGAACATAAAGATGCTAACATAAACACAGTAAAGAAAACAATGGCATGTCTTAGAATAAACAAGTACTTGTGTATCAGGACATGAACGTGTAGAAAAAATACATGAGCACACACAGAAAAGGAAAAGATGGAGGAAGTATTTTCACAAAACTCTTCTGTAACAACATGCTGGTTCCTTTAAGAAAGTTGTCTTTTACAAACCTACTTGTTTCACTGACTCACTGAAACCACAAAATAGCTGCTTGAACAAGAACAAAATAATACCATGATGTACACACACTGCCTTAACTGTATGTGGTTTAAAAACTTCCTGTCATTTACTGCACACTTTCTACCCTTCACAAATATACTTAGAATCCTCCTTCTTCCACACCTGTCATGATCTCAATCTTCATGTTTTAGTCACCACTAAGAATAATATTAAAATGTTACTGATCACATCACAGCTAGTCTGACTGAGATGGAGGAAAAGATGGTGGATGAGTAAGAGGACCTCTTAAAATTTTCCAAATGATCCTCTGCTAAGATATGACTTCACATTGACAGTACTTCACATCCTAGTACTCAGCCTGGCTATGCTGTATATAACACATACTGTCACAGCAAAGCCACAGTTACCTATAGTGAGAATATAAAATGGTAGAGCCACTTTCGAAGAGAGATTGCTAACACTATCAAAATTATAAATGTATGTTCCCTTTAATCCAGGAATTTCTCTTAGACAACCTACCCTATAGACATAGTCATATGTGCAATGATATATGTGCAAGGTTACTCATGCATTATTACTTACAATAGCAATGACTTTGGAACAGAATAAATGTCTATCCATAAGGAGATGATTAATAATGAGATATGCTGCAATAGACTACTATACACCATTAAAAAATATGAGGATGCTTTTTATGTACTGATATGAAATAATGTCCAAGATAAATTATTCAGTGAAAAAAAGAATTACTGTGTAATTTGAGTCAGAGTTTTCTTTTACCTATGTCTTCCCTTAAGTCTCTGTAAACACAGAAATCTTCTGAAGAGAGATGCCATGAACTTTTTCCATAGCTTTAAAATCATTTTCCAATACATTTCCTAAATAGTTAGCAAGGATGTTCATATTGTAAAAAGATAGAGAAAAAGCAGGACATAGTTCTGGATATAGCAATTTTTTAAAAAGAAGAACTGAGAACAATTCTTGTTATTGACATCATGCTAAGATGTCATTCACCCACCTAAGTGGGTGAAAGCTATAAAAAGTATGTATTTTGTGCTACTATTTACTCTATGACTTCAATGCCATTTGCAGTGATAATTATATTCATTTTAGATACAGAACTTAGGTTGAAAGACAAGCAGCTTTCCAGTAAGTGCCTATTTCAAATGTAACTACAGACTGAAATTTAAAAACAGTTGTTACTAAGGATCTCGAAAAAAATCATGCAAAAGAATTAAGAACAGAATCTAAGCTCCTAAGGATCTTCAATTTTGTCCTTCATTTCTTTCTTCCACTTCTCCACCAATACAATTTTCTGTATTTCAAAATGCTATTAAAGTGTGTAGGGACAGAAAATACTGAAAGTGAAATTAAAAAAAAATTGGGTTTTACTGACCATGTGACTCTTTCAACTTACTCCTACGCTGGGTTCTAGCATAAAGTACCACCTGCTGGACAACTTCCAACTGTTCTTCAATTCGGGGAAAATGAAAGTCCGTGCATTCTTGACAAACTGTGGCAAAATCTAAGGAACCCAAAACATTTACAAACTTTAAAGGTGAACTATCAAATATTTAGTATTTACTTATAGACAAGGAGATCTGGTAAAATAAAATTTACAAGTATTTCTTATATTTGTCTTTCCAATGATTATGTCTTATGAAGTTCAAGTACAGCAATTTTGTATTGATTAGAAACAATCTCGGTCACTTAAAAGAGTAAACACTTAATAGACAAGGAAACTTTAACATAATTCCAAGCCTTCTTTAAATCATAGATACTCTGATCATAACGAAAGAGTGCTAAAAAGTGTCAATGATAAAAATAAAGAAAAAAACAGAAAAAACCTCCCAAAATATAATATGGTCCTTATATTTATGATACCAAATAAGCTCTAGTGAAGCTTCTTTTAAAAAGTTATTCATTTAAAAACATTTTACATATTTAAAAAATTTAAAATAATCATAAAAAGTGAGTTGCAATATGAGGGAAGGGATGACTTTTACCGAGCACATTTAAGAAATAGATTATTTAAAAAACAAAAATAGGGCAGATGGAGGAATTAAAATTCAATGAGCCAAGATTGTTTATATATCTAAAACTACATTTATATCTTTTCTTTTTTTAAAAAAGATTTTATTTATTTATTTTTAGAGAAAGGGGAAGGGAGACAAAAAGAGAGGGAGAGAAATATCAGTGTGTGGTTGCCTCTCATGCACACTCCACCAGGGACATGGCCGGCAACCCAGGCATGTGCCCTGACTGGGAACCGAACCGGCAACCCTTTGGTTTGCAGCCTGTGCTCAGTCCACTGAGCTACACCAGCCAGGGCTGATTATTCTTCTTTAATACCTTGAAACGAAGGTACTGTAAGAAGAAAAATCAAATATTCTGAAGCACCCTACCCATGCTAAAGTATAAAACAAATCTAAAATAGCTGTTGCTGGGTATGTTATTGCTTAGTCTACTTGAACACTGGGGTGACTAAAAATTTTTTTTCAAATTTTCCATAATTTAATTTCTTTCCTTGTAAAAATGGTACTTAATGAAGTAAATACGTATAATGTTAACTTACCTCTTTTAATACCACTGTATGAATTGATTCTATTATCTACTAATAAAACCAGGCCACAGAGAGATGTGGAATAAAGAGAGAGAGCTGTCTGGAGTCGATGGAGTTTCACACCATTTCGATGATTTCTTTTGTGTTTACAGAAATCAAGCATATCTGCTCTCAGCAATCTCAAATTATGCATGGTCTTCAACTGAGCTCCTGGGGGGTATAAGCAACAATTCCAGAAAGATATTTAACTGCAAACTCCAGTATAACAGGATACAACTCTCTATGACAAGAATTCATTTAAATCTGTGCTACAAATAATTAAAAATGGGCCTTGCGATTTCTCATTTTAACAACTATTGATATTTCATCTTTCTATTTGCAAAAAATAACATATAAGCTAAAATAGAAAACTTATAGCTAATGATCTACAGGCTTTCATAGAACAGGATATACTTCATAATTATAAATAACATAGGTATGTTTTACTCGTATGTTAAGAATTTTTCTTACATCATAAAAGGTTTTTCAAGTTATAATAAATTGTGACTATGAAAAATTAATATACTTACCTAGGTGAATGGTAAAACTTTCTTCTAACTTTCTCTGTTCTTCATAAATCCTTCCATTTGCTTCTACTGATTCTCTAAACTGACTTGGTTGAACTTTAATTTCTTCACTGAAATTAACAAAATTATTCATTTTTTAGGCATGTTTGTCAAGAACTTTTCTTAAAGAAAGCTTTCTAATGAAATGACACAAGACTAACAGCAGAAAGTAGCACTTAATTTATTGCTAAACTTATCCTTAATCTATGACAAGATAATAAGTACCAAGAGGTTCTAAAATTTGCACTTGTTCTTTTATTTCCTCAGTTAGTAATACGTTTTCTATGTATTAGTTAATGCCATTCCTTTTCAGTCACTATAATATCAATTCATATACTATCATTTAGTATTTCTTAATAGCCTAAGAGAATGGTTAAAAGAAGTTGACTAATGTTACTTATAATAACATATTTAAAAATATACAAATCATACTCTTATTAGGGTTGGCTGCAGGCAAAACTAGAAAATAGGCAAAGTGATAGAAATTAAAATGAAAACTTAACACATCAAATAAGGAATAACAGAAAAAGATGAAGTTCATTTGAATGTATTCACATTCTCTCTCTCTTTTTTTTACCATTTCCTGTTTTATTCCCCTCTACCCCCAACCAACATTTTCCTTCCATTAAAAATACTTCTCTTTTTGCTCTAGTTTGCTCTTGGATTTCCTGAAAAGGCTTCCATGGAGGCACTACAAATGTACAACTGTTCAATTCAAATTTCATAGCACACTGAAAATAATATAAGCCTATGATAGTCATCTATTTCCCTGATTACATTTTGTAGTTAATCCAAGCAATCTCATTAGTCTCACTGACTTCATTAGTATATGGCAAATATAAACCTAAACATAAATTTATATTAATAAAACATTATCTTAGGACACAAAAAGCCACAAAAGAAGGTTGTTCCCACTCTAATAAAAAAAGCCAAATATAAAGTCCAGCAAAAAGAATGCCCCTTTTTTATTACATAAAAATATTTTATTACAAAATCATAAGCATGTAATTCTGTAACATAACAATATCAGACTCAAGCACACCATGTGACATTTTAGGTGACATACTGAAATTGCTGTTCACCTTGTGCAAGACATTCACATACCTTACCAATTACACTCAATGGTGTTACTTTTGCTGAACCCTGCATATAAAATCATAACTTTTTTGGAGCTTATCAGATACTTGAGATAACAATACAATCCAGTAACTAAATTCTAAAGTGTTAACACACCCTCCAAGGAGAAACAGGACACATTTCATTTTTGGTAGAGCATGGTAGAAATGTGTTGCTGTAATCTAAGTGGGTAAGAGGAAATCAGCTAAAATTTTAACAAATTCTTAAAAATCAAGTATAGGCTAGCATGTAAATTTATAATAGCTATGTATCCCAAGCACAAGGAGAGTTTGCATGCATTTGCAAACTCTTCATTTGGACTCCACTAGGTACTTCCAAGAAAACAATGTAGGCAGGTCAGGAGACAAGAGCGCCACCTTGGTGGCACAGGTAGAAATGCTGAGAATGTTCTAAGCCCAAGGCCTGAGTATATAAAGGCCTGCCCAAGACTGAAGCTGGATAAAGACAACTGAGACCTGTCTCCCACTCCGAACTCTAAGCCTAGCACCAAGTAACAAACAACAGTCCATTCCTGGGGGATCAAGCAACTGCACAGAGGAGACTCATGCTGTGGCAAGGCCTGCACAGACTACCCTAAGCTAAGGATGGAGCAGAATGACAGAGAAAAACCCTCTAAAGCCCAAACCCCACTCTAAACACAAAGTGGTGGCAGCTTACCCCTATAGAAAATGAAGCTAGTGATGTCCTGAGGGAACAAGAACCAAACTCAGCTCAACTGCCAACTAGATCTGCATGGCCTTCATATTAATGGTCTGTTCATTTTGGATATAAATATTATTTATCTCTTTTCTAATACATACAAAATTCATCATTCAGAGAGAGAGACCCCAAAAGGCAGACAAGCAAACAAAAAAGTCATTGTAAATAGATAAAGCAATCAACAAAAACAGAGATGACCCAGATTTTAGGACTAAAAGAGATTTCCAAATAAGTATAAATAAAATGTTAAAAAATCTAGTGTAAAAACAACACACAGGGGCAGATAAGGAATTCAAGCAAAGACAGAAAGCAAATGAAAAGACTAGAAATAAAACATGGTATCAAATCAGTGGTAACAGATATCAACTTCTTTGACAGGCTCATCAGTAGACCAACAACTCATATTATGAGGCCACCATTCCCCCAATATAAAAACCAAAGGAAAATATTATAAGAAAGAAACTACAGACCAACATATACAGATATATTTATTCTTTATTTTATAGCAAATAATTTATTAGTATTTATATGATATACGTCATGACTTATATGTATAACTTTAAGTACAAAACTTCCAGAAGAAAACAGAAGAAAATCTTTGTAATCTTGGATTAGGCAAAGATATCTAATTACGGCAGAAACCATTTAAGAATTAATAAACTGTATTATATTAAAATGGAAAACTTGGCTCCTCAAAAAGATACTATTAAGAAAATAAAAACACAAGCTACAAGGTGAAAGAAAATATTCATAAAACACTTATCTGATGATGAACTTATATTCAGAATATATACAGAACTCTCACAAGTCAATAATAAACAAACAAAAAAGAGACATAGATGAAAGATCAACATATGAAAAAAACACTCAACATTATTTATTAGCCATCAGGGAAATGCCAAGTAAAATCACAATAAGATACCACTTCAAAATCTGCCAGAATGACTAAATATCTATACCAAGTGCTGACGAAGAGGTGGAACATCTGGAACCTTCATATACTGGTGGTGGGAATGGAAAAATGTAAGAAGATAGTCTGGCAGTTGCTTATAAAGTTAAACATACATTACTATGTGATCCAGCAATCTTACTACTAGGTATTTATACAGGAGAAATAAGAACATATGTATATACAAAGAACTGTATACAAATGTATACAGCATTGCCAAAATCTAGATATATGGCAAATGTCCAGTACTGAGTGAATGAATAAACAAAGACTACCATAATACTACTGAGCAACAAAAAGGAAAGAACTGTTTCTCTCCGAGCAACCAGTGGTGGCTCATTCAAACACTGCCAAAATTCAGGCTCGAGACCATGGCAAGAAGGAGGAGCTACTCAAACAGCTAGGTGACCTGAAGGTGGAACAGTCCCAGCTCTGCGTTGCTGAAATGACAGAAGGAGCAGCGTCCAAGTTTTCTAAGGTACAAGTTATTTGCAAATCTATTACCCATGTTCTCACTGATATTCAGCAGACTCAGAAAGAAAACCTGAGAAAATTTTACAAGGGCAGGAAGTACAAGACTCTGGATCTGCTGCCCAAAGAAACACGGGCCATGTGCACTGGCTCGACAAGCATGAAGAGAACTTGAAGACCGAGACGCAGCTGTGGAAGGACAGGCTGAACCCACTGTGGAAGTATGGGCCAAGGCCTGAGTATCACAGGGTCAGTAAAGCACAAACGGGCTCATGGAGAAAAAAAAAAAAAGAAAGAAAGAACCACTCACAGATGGAACAACATGAATGAGTCTCAAAAGCATTATGCTAAGTGAAAGAAGAAAGATACAAACTGCTACATAGAGTTTGATTCCATTCAAAACTACAGGGACAGAAATCAGATGGATTGCCAGGAGGGGGGCAAGGATAGAAGATTAATTACGAAAGTACAAAAAGAAAAAGAAAAGATGAAACAGAGAAATACCACATCTTGATTGCTGTGATGGTTTCACGACTAATTTATGTGTCAAAACCGATCAAAATGTAAACCTAAAACAGGTGAATTTTGCTTTATGTAATTTCTCCTCCAATAGACCTTACTTTTTTTTTTAAAAAAGCAAGCTGAATAACCAATGGAAGACTAGATAAAGAGAAGTCTTATAACCAAGAATTTACAGAAAAATTTACAAGACTGGTAGGAAGAGCAGAGATGCAAAAAGGGCTGGCCCTGCTCCTATGGGAGGTGGCTGAGGTTCCGAGGGTATCTCGGCTGCAGAGGTTCACTCTCAGCTACAGGTGTGTCTAGACCACAAGCTGGGCTCCCTAGTCCAAAGCACCAGAGTTGGGAAGAGGTGTCCACATACCACCTGTCCACCAGGGAGAGATGGGAATCTGCTAGAGACACAGGAACCCTATCAAAAAGCTGATGCGCAAAACTTCATTTGCAGCCATTCACCCTGGGCTCTGGTGGAAGGAAGGTAGAACCAACTACAGTCACCTGAGGAGAGTCTGGGGTTTGTGGATATGAGGAGGGAGCTGAAGGGATAGCCACCAGGATCCCTGTGCTCAGCCATTTTCTCATACCACAGATGCCATCTTTTTCATGGGGAGCACTCCCCTCCCTGCATGTGGCATCAGCCTGGGGGAAAGGATTAGCTCCTCTCTGGACTCCCTCTTTCCTCACTACCTGGAGCTTATGCCAGCTGAGGAGTACAACCAGAGACTCTTCCAGTGACTTAGCCTAATAGGACACCAGCAGGTAGAGGCAGGAGAAGGCAGATCTTATTGGGGTGCCATGGGACTTTTGCTAACTGTCCTGGGGCCCAGTGGTGGTAAAAGCTGGCCTTGGTACACAGCCTGGCCTTCATCCAGGCCCAGCAGAGGCAGCCACAACTGTGGATCACTTGAAAAGCTTCAAACAGGTTGCAGAGGGCCAGTCATAGGCAGTGTCTTACATTAATCTGCACCAGAGTCCCTCCCAAGAGGCCCAAAACCAACACACCCAGTGGCCAGCTTCAGACAGTATCAGAGCAGGGTAAAATAAGCTTCATAAGCAGCATAACCAGAGGGAGATCTCAGCAGGCACCAAACCCTGCTGAGGCAAACTCCACTTGGTGTGGCTAGCACCTGCACAGCAGGTTATATGCCATGGTTGGGGGTTGAGCCTCACAGACAGCCTGAGGGTTGATTCCATGCATGAATAGGCCAAAATAGGAGGGCTCACATAAACTACACAGAGACATCTGGCAGCACCCAGTTCAGGTGATAAAGGATATTGCACTATTGGACCCAACAG